ATTAGTAACTACAATATATCATAGTGGCGGACCCAAGGGTGTTGCACACTTTTTTCTGTGTCCAAAAATAATCTGGGCCAAGGTTTTTGAAGATTTTCCTACCGGCGTTTCATATTGGTTTTCTTTCTAATTTGAACCATCCCTTGAACCATGATTTTCTATGGCTTCCCCTTGCTAACAGTTTGAGTAGCTTTATATGCCTAAGGGTGTTGCCCAAACCTAACAAGGAGTCCACTACGTATACTTATACTCTAAACAATAGGAGATAACTCCTCTATTGTCTATATATTAGTAGGGTCTCCAGTCAGGTCAGTGGTCAAGGCTCCCCGGACTGACTCTACCTAATCTTATTATTCTAATGTCACGGTGTGGTGAATTAGAATTAGGTATGTAGGTAAAGTGTTATTTCAAATGTAGAGTCCATTTCATGATAGATAAACCTGTATTTTTACATGTGTTTTCATGTACACATGATCACCAGGAATGATTTTTAATATTAATTAAAATATATAAATTTCAAAGTCAATAAAGCACCCTCATTAGCATCACTTTATCAGGTGAATAATAACCAATGTTAGCATAAAAGCCTGGCGTGTACATCCTTTTCATAAGTTGTTGCCCTTGTACATATGTATGCGTACAGACTCACAATAAAAGACAAATCATAATTCATATTTATCAATGTTTAATTGCCAAAATGCTCGCCTAAACTACATGCACATGAAGGGCATGACACAAGCATCAACATTTTAACCAAAAATCTACATTTATACCATATTTTTTTTTTCAGAATTTGTTAACACTCGCTCCGCACGGCCACCATAAAATATGAATACTCGACGTTATATAATATAACCTGGAAACTCAGAAAACTATACTACGCCTCACTCGATCTGTTTGACAATGGAAATATATCCGATAACTTTTTGCTATCTACGCTCGGCATAGCTTGCAATAGTTTAGTATTACATCTTCAGAATAAAAATTTGCATCGCTCCGCTCGGCTGGGAAATCATAATTGGCACAATCTCAGAAATAATGTAGTTCTATATATTTCTTGGTGCCAGAAAATAATATATACCTGTACAACCGACAATTCTAATTTATTAGTTCTAGATACGTGCAAAAAATGTCTTTTTATGAGTTTAAAATTTTGGACAACACCCAAAATTAATTCCTGAAAATGTTCTCATGTTTTTAGTTTGTAAACAGAGGCCTATAGAGAGAGCACATCACACATGCGCTTTATTCGTTGCACTGATTACCTGTACGATACAGGTCGCAGTACAAAATTCTGGTATACACATACAAGGCACTGAATGGAACAGCTCCTCAGTACCTACAGGAACTTGTTACCCTGTATCAGCCGTCAAGATCACTGCGGTCGGAGTCAGAATCTTTGTTGTGTGTCCCAAAATCTCGTACAGTGACCTACGGAAACGGATGCTTTGGGAGGGTTTCGGCTACGTTGTGGAATAGCCTACCATCTGCTATAGGGAAGTCGAATACTTTCAAGAGGGACATACAAACTCACCTCTTCACGTTTTAGAATATTTGCAAAGACGTCATGTAAATACCACCCTTTTATTTGTTCAATTATGTGCACATTGCTTGTTAAATGTATGAAAGTGATTGCAAGCCTTTGTCGTTTGTTTTCACAATTATAACCATTACTATTATCCATATGTTGTAAAGCGCCTTAGAGTAATTTTACAAATTATATAGGGCGCTATATAAATGCTGTATATTATTATTATTATTATAGTGGCTAGTTTACAATCAGGTTATTTTCTTTGCCAATTATTCGTTTTATGGTAATAGCTTCCCTTGTCTTCTGTATTATTCTAGTTTATACCGTTTTGGGAGGACCGAGTCATCGTAGGTATTGCTGAAGACAAAACATATATAACGTTGATTTGATGACCGTGTTTGGTGTCAACTAGTGTCTGTTAGATGCCAACGCAAGATTATCATTTCGCAAAACCATGTTTGCATTTAGCTGGTAATGGGTGTTACATAATTAGTTTCCATACGATTCACAATAGGATCGTGAACATCAGTTATCTTAGTTTTCCAGGAAGTCATGATGTTAGACTAGTTGGTCTTGAGCCTTGTGAATTGGTACCACCATGGCCTTGTTTGCAGTTCTGTTTGTCGTTTCTAAGCGATCTGACGAAAAGAATTATTTGAACTGGTCCCGGTTGCACAAAGGTTGATAAACTTGAACCAATGATTCATGACAAAAATAAAATGTTGCAATTAAGAAACATCAGATTTGAAATATAATGAATCACCAAAACACCATTCTGACCCGTCTAAACATCTCTATACACGTATCAGTAAAATAATATAGGATATTCTCTGTTTTATTGATATTTGGAAACCAAACATAAATTTTGTTAGAACTAATTTGGAACAGACAGCGGTTGAATGTAAGCTTTCAAAGGAATAGAAAGCATTTCGTATGAAGTAGCTGCTGCATCTGCCCTATACGCCCATGTTATATGATAACGGGTCAAGTGCCCCGATACTATTGATATTGGTAATCGATATGTTGGTACAGGGTTATGTTAAATTCTCTGCCTGTAATGGGATTATGTGTCTTTGAGAAAACCACTCTTCAAAGTACTCCTCTCGTCCTACGAGCTGATCTACAGGTTTGCTAAGAGATTCCCATCCTTCCTAGTCATGAGCTTGTTTGTATTAGTTTGATAACCTGGTAGTTGTCGGACGATGTTCTCCTTTCACTGCCCCTATAGTACACCTGCTACCAACTGGTCGATCACAAAGGAATCTCGTGGATTTCATTGCACTTGTTTAGCACCCCATGCTCTGTCTCGTAAATAGTTGTCTTAGGTACCATCTTCTTTGTCTGTCTTCCGGTTTCTGATTCACTTTCCTTACATATTCAGCATTGATTGTATCAATTGATGAATATGGTTAATTATGTTACCTCATCAGAGCTCCAATTCTCATCCCGTGTTGCTGGTAAAGCATTATCGATCCTTTCCCGTTTCATTTATTTCATTAACTCATTCACCCCCGAAGACACTTTTGAACTCTTCCAATTCAAAGGCTGGAATAGTTTATTATGAAATTTCAGGGTAAATGAGTTAAACATTGTTGCTCGTTTGTATGTGTATTTACATGTATGCATAATGGATTGATATATTTTATGCTAAAAAATCATTGCATATGCAGGAGCACATTATCCTGAACTTTTTGTATATCTAGTATTTAACTTATTTTACTTCTCTCATGAATTTTTATCAGTTATACTTTTCTAAATTTGTTTAGAACACAAACAGTAGTCGGAAACTTACCACTTTGTCATGTAGCATTCAAATGTGTCAATTTCAGTTTTATCGTTCTTTGATGTTTAACAACACGTACTATCAACTATTCTTGATAATTTTATACTAGAACCACGTCAACTTAATATGTTCTGCCCTGAAATGTCATTTTATACAGTTTCATCACGAACATGATACGTTTCGTCCAATTTTGCATGCCCGAAGAAATTAAGTAAGTCAAAGCAGAAATTCAAAAGATACAAACTTATACGACATCATAAATTATGACTGCTTCGTTAGTTCAGGGCTCATTGGCGGTACTAAAGGTTACAAGAATGAAAGTACAGTTTGGAAATTTGTATCATGTCTATATTCGAAAAGGTTTGATAAGTAATAAAGTAATATACAATCTTACTTTCTTTGGTTTGGTGTGTTTGTATTTTACGTCCTGTTAACAGCTGGGGTCATTTAAGGACGTGCCTTACGTCCTATTAACACCTATAGTCATTTAAGGACATGCCAGGTTTGGTTTGTTTGTGTTTTACGCCCTATTAACAGCTGTGGTGATTTAAGGACATGCCAGGTTTGGTTTGTTTGTAGTTTACGTCCTCTTAACAGCTGTGGTCATTTAAGGACATGCCAGGTTTGGTGTTTTTGTGTTTTACGTCCTCTTAACAGCTGTGGTCATTTAAGGACGTGCCAGGTTTGGTTTGTGTTTTACGTCCTCTTAACAGCTGTGGTCATTTAAGGACGTGCCAGGTTTGGTTTGTGTTTTACGTCCTCTTAACAGCTGTGGTCATTTAAGGACGTGCCAGGTTTTGGTGGTGGAGGAAAGCTGGAGTTCCCGGTGAAAAGACACCGACCTACGTGGACCAGTACCTGGCGACTGCCCCACATAGGTCTCGAACACGTGACCCAGTGATGGAGGGGTCGTATCGTAGTCGATCAGACGTCTTAACCACTTGGCCACCGCGGCCCGACATAACTTACTATAAATATTGTTTCCCTCTAAAAACATTTTTTTTTATAAATACATGCGTTGTATAAATATTTGGAATATATTAATAATTGATCCTATTAATAACTATAACTTTTAATGTATAATTGAATAAGTTCAGTATATGTATATGATACCTTTTCACAAACATGCAATGTACCTGTATTTGTCTTATATATGTTGAAGATAAAACACTTACTTGATTGTTCTTAGTAGTCTGTTTGTTGTACATGTATGACCGATATGTTACTAATAATGTGTGTCATATCAGGATTTATATTGATATATTAGACCTCAGGATCTAATTTCCGACTTCTTAAATCTCATCCTCCGAAGGCGACGAAACATTCCAGGAAATGGGTCAGGCTTAAGCAACAATTGCACGTCATACACGTGCACTTGGGAATTTACCAAGGTATTTTTTCAGTCAACAATAGTGCATACAAAATTATTGTTGATGTGTTTTCTCTTGGTTTTTTTGTTTTTGTTTTTTTTATGCTGCATTGACAACTGGTTTGAAAATAGGTTTGTTGCAATAAAGTAAATAGTTATGAAAATGATAAATTTCAAGACGCTATACTTAGTTATATATGTTGTGTGTGTTCTTGACTGAAAGTTTTTGCGACAACATTTAACCATATGTATCAAACCCACAATGAATAGCTAAACCAACAACATGCATGCTGTGAAAAACAACTATACAAATCGTTGTAACGAAATAATATTATTATATTTCCTCAGCTGCAGATATCAATTAAGTCTGACTACGGTAATGTTAATTCTAATTTCTCTGGACCAAGCACCAGATTTTTGACATTTTGACAGATAGTTCCCCTATGATAGGCAACAGATATGATAATTGTGGGCAGAAAAATGGGCCGATATATCAGACAGATTCTTTCGAGGCCTGCGCATCGTAAGGCTGGCCAGGCTTTGACCATATGGGCCACTTGCAATTGTTCTCGTGGTAGTTTGTAATCAGTGTTTCGATTGGTTTAATCAGCACAAGTGATATTCCGATTAATATCAATCTGTCAAAATGTCTAAATCCGATATATATATCGGAGCCAAAGTAAGCCAGTCTTCTTAAGGTATTGTTAGGTATCAATGAATTACAGGCATCTACTTCCGGTTTGTAAACTATGCAATATGCAATACTGTTAATACTAAATAGTCTTCCGTACTATATTGTCAACAAAGTGGTATGGATGGAAGACTTTTCCAGAAGCAGATATATACTGATGCTGGATTGTCATATATATCAATGAAAGAAATTAGCTGAACTACGTTATTCTCAAATATCGATGAGCAAGAACCAGTGAGAGAAATTAAGTTAAACTACACAATGCATGTAGTCGGTTATCAATGAATAAGATACGAATTGTCCTGGAAGGTTGTTTTCCTGATGACCTTTCACGGATGACCCCTGGCCTTTTCTTCAGTGTCACACCAGTGTTATAATCCGTGGAAATGTGACGTCATAAGTGCCCGCCATGTCGAACATGAATGCACCCGCTACAAGACATTGCACTTGGCACTTGGTGGTTGCGTCCCGTCGTCTTTCTTCGGGGAGCTGCTCACTGAGGTCGGCTTGGGTGTTTTGGTGTTTGTGCTTTTACCTGTCGATGACACAAATCGTTGGTATACCACTATATTTATAAGAATGCATATATACTGTACATTTGGAAATGTTCGCATTGGAACTCGACTGATACAAATTGAAATTTTCGCGCGGGGATATTTTTTCACTTGTGTAATCAACCTGCAAATATTTCCCTTTAACAGTTTTTTTTTTTTTTTTAATTTGATTTTTTATTTTCATTTTAATGTGCAATATACATCTTCATCAATTTAGCAATTATCATAATCATCATACATCAAGCATCATCCATCATAAACAATAGCTTCATTACCAACACATCTCACAGACATGCACCATCCTCATCATCTTCATAATCACTTTTTTTTATATACAACATCTCATTTTATTTCATACAATGCATCATCATCATCATCATCATCATCATCATCAAAGCAATATCATTGTATCGTTATAATCATACAGAGAAAAAATACAAATCAACACTGGTCATTACCATTTACAGTAAAATAATAATAGATTACTCATTTATTTAACAACCAGGTTTATACCACAAAGAATACAACAACGATACAAGTGTATGTAAGTGTGCGACTCCTCAAAAACTCCAAGTCATCTTTAAAGTTATCGTGAAGGTAAATAATAATTTGTTCTGAAAGTGCAATTCGGGGAATTATTTGGATAATTTTGTAAGATACATTAAACGTAGCTTTTGTACATATTATAAGTTGATTTGCCCACCGTATTGAAATATTCCAATACGTATGACTTCATCATGGGTATAAGGGTACTGTAAGCAGTCTACACGAAGGTCAAAAGCCAGCGTAACTAGGGTTAATACCCTATTTAGTTTGACATTTTGGTTATACTAAAGCTACACGTATTTCGTTGGCGTCATTGTAGAATTCTGTCATTGTGGTTTCTACCCCGCTTCTCGCTTTGAAGACATGATATTACTTGGATATGGCATAGATTTACACGGCGATGCTCCTTAACGAAGCTGGGCACAATTACTATTTCGAAACACCAGGTTTTATCCTTCCTAGCACAAATGGCCCTCGGGGTAATTTGTTTGGTTGTCTGACCCTCGGTAGAGCCTCGGGTTAGACAGCCAAAAAACATCGCCCCTCGGGTTGGAGATTTCTCTGTCACACCCTCAGGGCAGGGGAAGATTATATTAATCCCATTGCAATATTTTGGGCTCTATATCTCTGATATACTTAGTTCTTTACTCTTTCTTTGCGGCTGGTGTCTCCTTAGGCACCCGTCTTGAAATAACTTGCATGGCGAGGACGTTATAAACTCCGTACAAAGAACACACGTGGTCACTTTGGTAAAAGTTACAGCGGGTTGTATTTTTATGAACTATAAGCATTAGATGAGAACATGTTAACTTCAAATAAATAGCGAGTAAAAAGTGCATATTAGATCACTAACCAAAAGGGGCAACATCGGGGAATACAATGATGACGCAAGACACACACACGTGATTGGGCCTATAGATACAGTATTTGAAAAATGAATAACACGGCACCATACAGCTGGTGGGTATATTTGTCCCCGACGTTTGACGTAACCTTGATGACTTCAAATGTCTATTTTAGGTAGATGCACGGTTCTAATATATAGATGTACACACTTTACTTATTGTATTATGGTCTTTTATGAGGCAAATGTTTTATTGCAAACCATGAACAAATCAAGGTTAGGAGAGTATTACGCACGCATTCTTGATAGGGAACACGTCATCCCAGCAGCTAATGTTGTATACATAGGCCACTGTACTGCGTTATTGACTTTGGCAATCAATAATGGAGAATAGAGCGGGAAACCTCGGATGCTATTTATAGATAAGCAGTAACGGTGTACTTGACTTACATATAACAGTGTGTACTCTGTGGAATGTTTGTGTTTGACTATTTACTTGTCTATGGAGATTCATAACCGGGCCCAGCCCTCACATACGTACCCTGTTTCGGTGTTTTCTTGAACCGTGGAAGTCGAATGCTGTCGTCGTTCCTATAGTCATAATCATGCCTTCGAGCCGCAGAACAGCCTCCGGCCGACGCCGCTGAAACTGCCATAGTAACGGCGAGAATCTGCAAGTCCTAGATGTCACCAGTATCCGAGAACGACCTAGGATAAACGAGACGTTGACGTTATCGTGTCGAAGTGTACGGGAACACTGACGAGCCTGCTGAAGAGGGGGATTGGCAAGGGCTGGAGCTTAGCCCACCCTGCTGAATCGATTCCACATGTCGGTTGTTATGCGTCATAAAGGCAGAGCGGCGCGCTTACAAGGGTGATCATGTGTTGACTAACATAAATAGAGGTGTAATAGACAACAGATAACATGTCAGTTTTCACAAAATACTTCTCGTGTGACATTGGTCAAAGAGAAACAAAAATCAAAAACCCTTTTCGTAGATTTACTTTTCACTATCGTAGATTACATTCACGGAAATAAAGCGCAATTCTTGGCTGTTCATGTATTTGATCGTGCGTCTGGGTATTGGTAAAGCTAGTCACATGTCATGTGGTCTATTCGATGTCCCAGCATTTATCCAGATGGTCAGGCCACAAGTTCTTAGTTGATTGTACTGGAAAATTGTTAAAGTACATGTCGACTATAAAATCTCATTTTCTTAAAAATTTGAAGAGCTGCTGTTGCATAATGACTTGAACGTATTTAGGTTGGCCTATTTCAAAACAATCAACAAAGAATCGTTAGAGATTCATAACCATAGCGATCCCTTAACATTCTCCTCGTCATATATCACCTTGACACGCTGAAAGAAGTTTTCACTTCCAATGACGTCCTCAGTACATACAAGGTGTGGCGTACAACTCGTGGTCCATTCCCCCTTAAGGTCAATGTCACAACCAAGGGTCACGATGAAGATAAAACAAACAGTATTTTTTAGTTTAAAGATTTAAAGGTCAACTTAACTGTGATCGTTTTATAAAATCACCTCTGAGCCCGTATTCATTAAACCGTTATGATGCTGAAGCATGGATTCTTTGCTCAAACCAGCTTTGTTGTAACTCACTTAATCATGTCAAACAATCAAAAAGTCAAATGTAAACATTGAAAACAGCATTCGGCTTGAAATATCTTCAATTGTTTCCAAATCATTGACAAATTAAGATTTGTTTTTATCATTTTATACCCGGAGAAAGAAATTAGGCTTGAGCACAAAATCCATGATTGAGCATTCAGAACAGTTTCATGAAATACGGGCCGGACTCTGACGTAGAATATGAGAAGCTATCCTCCCACCGCTTCCGTAGGATTACTCAAGAAAAACTATTGACACTGAAATAAAAGTGTAGTATATTATTTGGATTCTATATGCAGTATTTATCTCTCTATTTAGGACACTGAATCTCCACCGGTTGTCCACTCATTCAAAATGATTGAAACCTTTTCCACTCTCGAAATGACCCATTACTCTTTCTTGATCTTGCAATAAATTGTACACGATGACCACACATTGGTATGTGAGGAATCCCAAAGATCTGTTGGTTTCGAGGTCAAAGTCACATTAAAATATTCTGGATATGAAATCACGAAATTTCTTAACTCTTAGAACGTTAACATAAATATATCGTTTTCTCCAATTTTACATTCATATTTCTTTACAAAGGTACAAGGGTTATTTTTTTTACATTTCTTTCATTGTTTAAGGTCAAGAGATTATTTCTTAACATTAATTCATAGAAACTTGACTGATTTAATTAACGTTTGATGAAATCTAGCCCTTTAGATTTATCCGATTCTGAGAATTGAAAATGTTCTTAATGTTTAGAATATAGTGACTTCACGGAGTCTGTGTTTGCCAGAAGAGAAATATTTCCAGAGGTCAGTGAAAATCCTACCTTTAACGACACAGAATTACTAGGACATAACACGACTTTTGTAGCGAAATCAAAGTAATACACAACACGTCAATCTGCCTACGTTTAATTTGGTGGACAGAAATTGGTAATCATTATTCTTATTTTTTGATATTTCAGAGTTATATAAGCAGTGAGCTTCAAGTTTGTTTCTGAATCTGCTTTGACTTTTGTTATAAGCCAAAGGCAATGTGGAGCAGTTGGCTTTTTAAAACCTATTCTTCCCGAATGGCGACATAATGTAGACTGTAACCAAATTGATTTTTTTAAATGTCCTATACTGAACAACAGAATAGGTTGAAGCCTTTTAAATCCTAAACGTCACTGGAGCAGGACGATACTATTTTATATATTTATGAAGTTGGAGCATCACCTGGTGCCAGAGACTTGGGGCCCAATGGGGGAAACTACGGTGTTACTTAAAATTTCTCCCAGAGACGTATATCCCGATACATATATTATACTATATGGCGTTGTATGTCTCTGCTTCACCTTAATATATATGGTATAAAAAAACACCTGGTCAAGATGATCATATATATAGCAGTAAGAATTGTTAAACGTACATGTGGTCTTAGAAATATAAATAAAACAAAACACCAAAGACTAAATCTCGCAAGTAGTTTCGCCCATCTTCAGGCTCTTCAGGCGGTTGGTGTGATCCCTGGGGCCCCATAGGCCAGTACAACGGATACTTATATACTTGGAAACAGTCGAGATTCCCTTTCTATAACAATGTACTCTTTGTGGCCATAAACATATGAATGCACTCATGCCCCAGGGGTTCTGCCTAACCACCATTTGCTTGCACCGTGGGTCATCACATGGAAACGACAGGGACATCAGCATTTGTTACAGCTATTTTTGGACCTTAGCTAGAGTAATAAGAATAATTTTAGCTTGGGTCCAAATATAGCTTAAACAAATTCTCCTGGTAAAAGGTCCAGGCTAATGTTAAAGTAAGGGAAAGTAACAGGTCCAGACTAATGTTAAAGTAAGGAAAAGTAACAGATCCAGGCTAATGTTAAAGTAAGGGAAGGTAAAAGGTCCAGGCAGTCCAGGCTAATGTTAAAGTAAGGGAAGGTAAAAGGTGCAGGCTAATGTTAGAGTAAGGGAAAGTAACAGGTGCAGGCTAATGTTAAAGTAAGGGAAAGTAACAGGTCCAGGTTAATGTTAAAGTAAGGGAAAGTAACAGGTCCTGGCAGTCCAGGCTAATGTTAAAGTAAGGGAAAGTAAAAGGTCAAGGCTAATGTTAAAGTAAGGGAAGGGAAAAGGTCCAGGCAGTCCAGGCTAAAGTTAAAGTAAGGAAAAGTATCAGGTCCAGGCTAATGTTAAAGTAAGGGAAGGTAAAAGGTCCAGGCAGTCCAGGCTAATGATAAAGTAAGGGAAGGTAAAAGGTGCAGGCTAATGTTAGAGTAAGGGAAAGTAACAGGTGCAGGCTAATGTTAAAGTAAGGGAAGTAACAGGTCCAGGTTAATGTTAAAGTAAGGGAAAGTAACAGGTCCAGGCAGTCCAGGCTAATGTTAACGTAAGGGAAAGTAAAAGGTCAAGGCTAATGTTAAAGTAAGGGAAGGTAAAAGGTCCAGGCTAATGTTAAAGTAAGGGAAAGTAACAGGTGCAGGCTAATGTTAAAGTAAGGGAAGTAACAGGTCCAGGTTAATGTTAAAGTAAGGGAAAGTAACAGGTCCAGGCTAATGTTAAAGTAAGGGAAAGTAACAGGTCCAGACTAAAGTTAAAGTAAGGAAAAGTATCAGGTCCAGGCTAATGTTAAAGTAACGGAAGGTAAAAGGTCCAGGCAGTCAAGGCTAATGTTAAAGTAAGGGAAGGTAAAAGGTCCAGGCTAATGTTAAAGTAAAGGAAAGTAACAGGTCCTGACTAATGTTAAAGTAAGGAAAAGTAACAGGTCCAGGCTAATGTGAAAGTAAGGGAAGGTAAAAGGTTCAGGCAGTCCAGGCTAATGTTAAAGTAAGGGAAGGTAAAAGGTCCAGGCTAATGTTAAAGTAAGGGAAAGTAACAGGTCCAGGCTGATGTTAAAGAAAGGGAAGGTAAAAGGTCTAGGCTTATGTTAAAGTAAGGGAAAATAAAAGGTCCAGGCTAATGTTAAAGCAAGGGAAAGTAACAGGTGCAGGCTAATGTTAAAGTAAGGGAAAGTAACAGGTCCAGGCTAATGGTAAAGTAAGGGAAAGTAACAGGTCCAGGCTAATGGTAAAGTAAGGGAAAGTAACAGGTCCAGGCTAATGGTAAAGTAAGGGAAAGTAACAGGTCCAGGCTGATGTTAAAGAAAGGGAAGGTAAAAGGTCCAGGCTAATGTTAAAGTCAGGAAAAGTATCCGGTCCAGGCTAATGTGAAAGTAAGGGAAAGTAACAGATCCAGGCTAATGTGAAAGTAAGGGAAGGTAAAAGGTTCAGGCAGTCCAGGCTAATGTTAAAGTAAGGGAAGGTAAAAGGTCTAGGCTTATGTTAAAGTAAGGGAAAATAAAAGGTCCAGGCTAATGTTAAAGCAAGGGAAAGTAACAGGTGCAGGCTAATGTTAAAGTAAGGGAAAGTAAGGTCCAGGCTAATGTTAAAGTAAGGGAAGGTAAAAGGTCCAGGCTAATGTTAAAGTAAGGGAAAGTAACAGGTCCAGGCAAAGGTCCAGGCAGTCCATGTTAGATCCAGACAGTCTATAAGGTGTAAAGTATGTGGGAACGTGTATAACGACGGAAATAACTTAAGGAAGCACGTGTAAAACGTACACAAAAAGAGTAATCACAAATGTCACTTCTGCAACAAGTCCTTCACAAGGAAATATAATTTGAAAGCACACGTGAACAAAAGTCATTGATTAACACAGACTGGAGGAGAAAGAGCCATTCAAGCATCTCTACCTGAACCCTCAATAACCCCACCACCAATGCGAGATCAGTCGCCGCTGCCGGGACCTTCAGATGTTAAGTCGCCGCTGCCGGGACCTTCCGGTATACAGTCGCCAAAATCGCAACTTCTCGGGATTCCGCGCCTAGCCGGAATTGGCCGAGAAGTTGCGATTGCAGTCGCCGCTGTCGGGCCCTTCCAGTGTTCAGTTGCCGCTACTGAGACCTTCCGGTAAACAGTCGCCGCTGCCGGGTCCTTCCGGTGTACATTCACTGCTACCGGGACATTCCGGTGTACAGTCGCCACTACCAGAGCCGTCTAGGACTCCACGACCTGCACAAGAAGGACAACGTCATAATGATTAAGACGATGTGAGTTTAGGAGGAAATGCTAATGTCAGAAAAAAGAATCCGAATTTCAAGGACAGTACTGACATGCTCACATTTGTTACTTATTCAATAACGGAAGTGATGGAACATGTACAAAATCTATGTGAGAGTTTGAATGGGATTAAATGGTACTTAAACATTCGTATATCATTGGAAAAGGAAGATCGAGAAGGTAATGTAGTGCAGACCACACCACATTTCTTGAGTAAAACATACAAATTGATGCCAAATGAACCGGGTCTAGAACACGATATTAATGAAGCTTATCAGAAAATGTTTGCTTCATTGGAGAAATTCGTTCTACAAGGGTC